GAGAGAGAGATAGAGGGGTGAGAGGGGCGGGAGAGAGAGAATGGGTGGAAAGACAGGCAGACAAATTCATAGACAGAGGGAGTAATTGAGAGAAGGAGATTCGTAAATAATTAGCAGTTCTTCATAAAATTAAGCTACAAGTTGCTTACAAACAAAGAAGCCTGTAAATTCCTGTCTACAGTGCTCACCTGCACGATTACACAGGAACCCTTTTTATGACCCAAGCTCGTGGCTAAATTATAGAACAGTGATTATTTTCATCAGAATCACCGATGGTCTGAAAAACCTATTTCATTCCTTTTTAGAATTTAAGTTTTTAAATGTTACAAACAAGTTCATTTGATATTTCGAAAATCCGGGAATAGTAATTTTTGCTTCTGAGCTTCCATGGACCATGACTATGGAACAGTTTATAAACATCGTTAAGGTTATTTTTTCCGCTGTTGTCGTAATTGTTCATTTTCGTTGCCGTCGTTGTTGTTGTTGTTGTAATTGTTGTTGTTGTTGTTGTTGTTGTTGTTGTTGTTGTTGTTGTTGTTGTTGTTACTATTGTTGTTGTTTGTTATTGTTGTTACTATTGTTGTTGTTACTGTTGTTGTTGCAGTTGTTGTTGTTGTTATTGTTGTTGTTGTTGCTGTTGTTGTTATTGTAATCGAGGATGGTGCGTGTGGTGGTGGTGGCGTTGCTGTTGCTTTTATGTCAAGACTGTTGTAGTTCCTACGTTGTTGCTATTATTAATATTGTATTTTTTTACCGTTGTGGTTATTGCCATTATTGTTGATGACGACGACGACGAAGAAAAATGATGATGATGATGATTACTTCTACGATTGATAATTTTTTCAAGGTGTTTTGTTCGGCAATAATCTAATTAGTGATGTGTAGTTTAAAAGTTCATTTTTTCCGTTGTCAGATAATATTATTTGCGGAGAAAAAAACTACGAAATCATCCCACTATCTAATGAAGCCTATAACAAAATATAAGTATCCCCGACAGTAGTGCACTTAACTTTAAGATCTAGCAGATTATTCACCTGTATAGATTAATCCAAATGTCAAGCACACTTCAAGTCTCGAAGCAATCTACAGTGTGAAAACAGCAGCTAATCCTTCAGAAACGGCCGTCCCATACACTCAAAGACGATCAGACGAAATCACCTTACAGCTAAACACCACGTCTAGTTATGATAATCCGTTAATCCTAGAGCTCAAAAAAAATCTGTCTCGGTTTTTATGACGATTTCATCTCCGCCAATCAGAGCGGTTCGTCTGTGGCGGGCACAACGACAGGGCAGTCGTCAGTGTACCGTCGGGAACCCGTGTCAAAGCGTACGAGAACCGAAAAGAGTAGAGAGTAGACTGTTGGGGGGAAGTCGCGCACCGCTATTGACGCACCAAACCGCGAGACGCGCAATGAAAAGAAGAAAAGAGAGAAAAAAAAGACGCCAAAGCTTGCGATACCACAGCGTTTTAGGGACCCGTCTGCGCACCTCGCTACTGACTGTGGAGGTTTACGATTGCCCGTGCCCACAGTCCACAGGACGCATGGCAAACACGGGCACGCGAGAAGCCATAATAGTGGGTGCCCCTCGGATTTATACCGCGGGCTTTGCTAACTGTTGGAGTTGGGGTCCTTGGCTGACGTTAACTCAGCCGACTGTGTGATGTGCAGAGCGAAGAGCTTTTCATTTTGATACACCTTAGTGGCACTTTACCTTTGCTTGACTGCGTTTTCGATGATGAAAGTGTTATGAGTGGCAAATACTACACTAGGGAGGAAATACTACACTAGGGAGGAAAGGAATAAGTTGAGAGACGAGTGGAGAAAAAGCGAAAAGAAAAGGAATATTATGTCGCGACAAGGTGGAATCAGGCGCTCGTCAGTTTGTGTGCTTATGTAGCTGTTGGTATTATCGTACAGCTTGCTCATTTGTCTTGGCTTTGATGAAAAAGTGATCATCTATCATGAGTAGAAGTCGGGATAAGAATATGTCTGATTGAAAGAGGTTGGGGTCGCCTAGTGTAAGAGCGAGAAAATGGCCGCCAAAGTTTAGTGACTACCAAAACTTGAGAGTCCTTGGAAATTGCAAATTTACTTTATTTGTGTTTTGATCAAGGTTTTTCAACAAAATCCACACAGAACTGTGTTTTAAATGGACAAAGGTGCTGGGCAAAAAAAGTAATAAAAGCTGCCCGATGGGCAGGGAAATGCCGGTTTCTTCACTTCCATTATTTTGACAAGCGCCTTATTTCATGGCGATGCCAAACATATATCTTTGGATCCAAAAGGTCCACAGCAAAAGCCATTCAAACAAAATGGCAAAGAAAAAACCAACAGTAGAAAACGTCGTCCATTATTCCGGTATATTGCACCTGCAGTCAATCTTAGAGTGTAACATGACAATTTTTCACCTCGACAAAGTCACAGAGTCATAACACAGGATGGTGGCGGGTACTCTGGTGTGTTTTGCTCCTTCTCTCCTATCAAACACCTTACGTGCTTATCTCTCTTCCTTTTTTGAGTTTGTTACTCTTTTGTAACACCTCCAGTCTTCAGCACTCAAATGACCTTATTGTGTTGCAAGTGCCGTAAAACTCTTACTAAAACTAAAATCAGAGTCATAGCGCTAGCTGTGAGCTGCAGACTTGTCGACCAACAGAATAAGACATACATCTTTACCAGTGATTGTCAACTATGGTATATCCAGGTCCCTCTTTTGCCACCTTTAAAAAAGAGGCTTAACTTTCCGTACTACCCACCTACATGTAGGTCTACTTCTTAGCCAGGCATTGAATAATAATAATATATGTTACTACCCGAGTGATCCCCGCGGGCCCATCAAAATTACCTCATCTTAATAGCCCAGGTTGGCAAAAACATATCTAAAACTTCATAATTTAACCTGTACAGTTTTAAACTTCTCATCTTGGCACCCACTAGATGTGAGTTCGAATCTCGTGCGTGGAAGTTATTCTATCATGTGTCTATATCTGCCATCTGGCGTGTTGCATCCATTTGGCCAAAGTTGACTTTGACGGTTGGGGAGACAGCGCACCTCCCAACATAGCAACAAACAAGCTTCATAAAATGTTATTATCATTTCGACGCTCATGTTAACTAGACTACAACGCCACAAGCTTACTCGATGCGAGACCACACTGTTGATGCCAAGTTCGTTTAAATAGGCAATCAATAAACATGTGGGGTGGTGTGGGGTAGAATGGGATGGGATGGGAATGGATGGGATGGCATAGCATGGTATGGTATTGTTTTAAACACCCCTTTCAACATTTCAAAATTATTTAAAAGGTGGGACTCTGGTGGCTAGATGGACAGAGCAAATAGACGAAAAACTTGGAAAGTCCCAATGGTGACCGAAGTTCAAGAACGCTTTACTAGAAATCAAAACACTCACATAAACACACGCACACACAAACAAACAAACACACGCGCACCCACCCACACACACACTCTCTCTCTCTCTCTCTCTCTCTCT